AATAGCTTTATGTTATTCGATTAAATCATAATACAACCGATTATTATTTGGAACACATTATGAGCGTGATATTTCAATTTGTAATCAATATAATATAATATTTAATTTATAATAATTATAATGTCCACAAAATGTTTGGATTTGTATTGTCACATCAAGCTTCACCAAGTTATTGGGATTAGGATCTGAGGTTGGATAAACACAAGTAAAAAGTCTATCAATTCTCTAATATTTTTCGTTTTCTTATTATTTTGGAAGATCAAGTGAATTCAAAAGTATAATATGTATTTTACACACATTGTAACATTTATTCAAAAAAATTGGTTTAAGAATAAAAATATTTTAATATTTCAGTTTTTTTTTTACTAATAAAAGTTTTATATTATTAATTGATGTATACCTACTATTTTAATGCTTTGGTAGATATTCAAAATATTAATTATAACTTTAAATTTTTACATAAATATAATTTCAAATTAGGTAGGCACTTGTTTAGTATAATATGTTGGTAATTACTAATTATTAAAAGTTGAATAAATAATATAATTTATTAGAGAAATACGAACTATAACTTTCCCGTCGAACTTCTTATTGCAACTAATTAATATTTCCTCCTCCGGTCATCAATATATCAAGGGGAAAAAAACACCATTTTATAGTTAAATATAATTATATATTGTAATATTAATAGATAAGATAATCTGATAATACTAAATGATTAAGGAACTATATGATCTTAAATTTAAAAACGGTTATACATTCAATATACATTGTAATACAAAATTACGTATAACAGTTCTGAACAAACAATACCTATATCCTAAAGGCTTATAATATAAGCTTAATATATAAATAAAATTCATTCAATGGATAAATTTTACATCACACCCTAAACTTACTTAATTAATTTACTTATGAAATAATTAATAAGTGACCAAATTATTTTATGCAACTTGGCACTATACCGGAATTGTAGTATGTTTCAAGAATATGGTCTATAAATGTTCTACTTAATTTTATTCATAAACTGAATGCCAATACAATAACTACAATATACTACATAATATACAAAAACACTTCATAAAATAAATAATCCACGGAAGTATAATTTAATTGTTTTTCGTTTCAAAGCACTAAAGTAGTTAGGTGTATACTTAATTCTGCTATAATGTAGTATAGTAATAATATGAGATTATCCTATCGTAAATTATTTAAAAAAAATTGTCTGTACACGAGATTACATTATATGAGGGTAAAGACTTTTAAAAATTCGTTCTGTTAAAAGAAAATACTTAACTTTATGTGGTTATAGACTTGTGTTCATACAAAGCGTGTATGGTAGCCGGTAGGTAAGTTACTTAATTTAACATCTTATCATACTGTGAGTAAATATGAGTTTCCATAGTTACAAGAAAATTATATTACACTATACGGATTATCACGAGCTTGTATAAATCTTAAGCTACAAGACTTTGATTCAATCAAAATTATTAAATCAACAATTATCTACTATACCTACACTAAAATTATAATACCATTACATTAAAATTGATCGATATATTATCTCACGGACCTTGGCATTTGCTTAGGTTGCTCTAGATAATGTCTGTGGGTTGTGCATATTATAGTAGTCGGCTTATACTGTCGTGATAGAAATCTGTGAATAATCTGTCACCTCGGTTAAAGTTTAGGTTTTCCATAATTAAAATTACATGGTGTTCTCCCGGAAACCACCCTAAAGCGAATGACCAGCGTGCGGTAAATGGCCGCACCAATATAAACCCCAACGCTGTAGAATTAGGAATTCATAGTCATAATTTGGGTAATAATGTAATTTACATTTTAAATACCAATTTTTATTGATTTTAAAATTATATGGAATATAACAAGATTTGACCAATTTTTAAGTTTAAATATCTCATAAAATATACATAATATTTAACTAAGCAAATACCATTATATCCAATGGTAGAGCTAGTAGCATAAGTACAGCTAGTTTTAGTAAAATTCTAAAGATAATTTAGAAGCTAAATTGCTAAATAACAATGCAATCTTAGAAATAACATTTTAACGGTACGTGTGTGTAAAATTGTGTCCATAGCAGTATTTAAAATAATTTTGTATTTTGTTATTTTTAAAACGTTTATTTTATAATTATCAACTGAAAAAAGGTGGGCAAATTTGTACCGCTATACTGTACAGTAGGTGTCTCGAGAGGTCACTGTAATGGATGTATTAAATTTAAATTCAATGATATAAAATTATTGTATACTATAAAAGATTATAGGGACTATATTACTAAGTAATTTTATGATATAATTGTAATTTATTATGCTATTAGACATTAGTAATATAGCTTATTGAATTGATTTTTGTCAAAAAATTTTCTTTTAAAATTTCATTGTGTATCATTATAATAATATATTATAAAAGTTTCAAGTACCCACAAATAATATTTTTATATTACCCCAAAGAAACTAAAATCGTTATTATTATTCAATCAATTATCGTTCAAATTTAAATTAAAATAATATACATACAAAAAATTGTGTTTATATAATTTTTAGATATTTTGATTAGAGTACTAACTACTTATGAGTATCCTTATTTTATATTTTGAATTCTTAGCTAGACAAATTGAACATTTTATTCATGTTTAGCTACAAAATAATTTGCATATTTACGACATTTTGCTGAATTTTGTAAAAAAATGTACTTTAAATGTTTATGAAAAAAAACCTGCCAATGTTTCTCCACTGCTATTATAACAACTTATGAGAAACCTCGTATACATTATCAAGATTAGTTTTGACCTAACAAAAAACATTTTATTAATAATCTATTTGAAAAAAAACTAAACAAATTGAAAATGTCTAATGTCCATAAATGTCTGTTTTCCTTTTTTTTGAATATTAAGTAAAATACTGGTAATTTTCCATTCAACCACTCAAAAGTATCAACTAGATAGTAGAAAATCGAAGCATTTTTTCCATTTTTTTCTTGTATTCAGACACGAATCATAAAAAATATAAATCATTGTAAAATCAATTCATTAATCACTCAACTAAATCTAAAATTAGTCGTAGAAAATCTTAAGGATTATAACTATTAAAATAAAGCAATCGATACATAATATACGATATACATTTACTTAAACAACATATTACAAGTTACAACTAAACAAAGAACGATTAATTAATCAACCGGAAAAATGCTCAGCAATATATTAAAATATAATATAGTTTAGTTTATAAAATATCGAAATACAACGAAACCTCCCCCAACGGACACCTCTAATATCAACGACTTTTTGGTAACAAACTACAAACTTTCTTCAAATTAAACCCTTTGTATAGCGGTCCAAGTTTCAGCGACCGAGAGTGTATAGTATTTTGGGATTTCACTGAATTATACAGAAATATACCTACTAATATTTTATATTCTGTAGTCTATTATACAGAAATTATGCATATATTACAGATCCTCTTGTTCTCTATGCATACAGAATTTAACTGTGATAAATTAAAAACTGAAATTGGCCATACAATATATTATATAGATAACGTTGTTATTATTAAATAATTTATTTATAACATAACATTAATTATTAACACATTTTTTTTTTAAACATTTATTAATGTAATTATGTAAGGATGAAAGAATAGCTATCATAAATTAATTAATTATTAAATATTAAATATTGTCTATTGAGTGCATTTTAAATGTTGTTTATTCTACTCTATTCTGGCATCAAAATCTATTATCCAGTTTAGTTTATTTAATAAGTTTACATGATTAATGATTATGTTTAAAACATAGTAGCATCGTGAAAAATAACTTATAAGATTATTTTTTTATATGTATTTTGTTTTCAAAAACATAATTAGACGTTAAATAATAATCAAAGTTTTAAACAGCTGATGTCTTAATTCCTTTAAAAACAATATTCTTAATAAAGTATAGTACTTTTACTCAATTCATAAAGCCTTTTTTACACATTTTAATATACTGCGTAGTTTCCAGTAGGTATTATAATTTATAGCTATTGTTTAAACCATTAGAATATACTGAACTACTGGATGGTCTGGATAACAATAACTAGTACTTATTGATTTTATATTCTATAACAATATGTATTATACTACATTACAAGAAAAATATACGTACATAGGTACATAAATAGGTACATACATACCTACCTTTCATTTTATTTTATTTTATTTTTATATTTCATACGGACCTAAGTCTAATTACAAGTATTTATTATAATATTTAGGTATTATAATGTACAATAAATCATAAACAATTTACAATCAATACAGATAAATATTACACTTTAAATAACTGAACACTAAACATTTAGTTCAAGACTATTTTTAAATGTATAAAGACTATTTACAAAAGGGTCTATCTTATATTTATTTGCTAATTATTGTAACGTCCGATTAATCGGTGAATTTGAATTTAAAAATGTGGTAGCAGAATTAGCTGGGTAGAATAAATTGGTATTAAGTAACTCACTTTCGTTTATTTTAAAATGTATCATTGCTAAAAATTCAGAACAATCCATGCAATTATTTTTTACTTTATACAAAAAAACTTAGAGTAGTTTATTGTTAAAATGTAATGTACTTTATATTATTATAATTTTATTAGGTACTATTTTTATGTTATGATTCAGTACATTTTTTCCAAAAGGACAAAAATATATAGATTAATGATAACGTTAGTCAACTATAAGAATTTGTATAGTTTTACAACTGTAATTTTCGTAATATTAATGAATTTAACCGGGCTTAAATTGTTCTCATTATTTTCCAAACTATTAATCATAATGTTTCCTTTCTGGTCATAAATCTCAATAACAACAATAGTAATTCATTTTTCTGAATCGTCCTTTTTAATTTATTAATGCGCAGTTGGATTTTCTTCAGGTGAAAATGAAAATAATAAAAATATTGATATACCTATTATTATCGTTTTACAGGTTGCCTAACTCTATGCACGCCATATGCTCCGACCGGCGATGTAGTATAGCCATCAAATTATCGTATCTACTGCCGTTCATCATTTGCAGCCCAACATTTCTAGTGTTTGAAATACTGGAAACGAAAGTCGTCGAAAACGGTACTGTGGCCACGTTGTACCATTTGGGCTTGAGCACCATAGCAAGGGTGAACCATGAATTATTGTACATGATACATCTGTGGACATATGCTGTGATCATCAAACTACTGCCTTGCCTAATACTAACCGTCGTTACCATATCTCTGGTAAGTGTAACTTGTAGTTACAGACTACAGTATAACGTCGATACAATAATGGATGAGCAATTATCACTTTCAAATATATAATATATTATGGGCTCTTCCAAAGATTCAAAATCGCCAAACTGGTGTAAACTAATATAATATTGTGATACCCTTAAACATTTTAAACCAAAATTAACAAAGGATGTTTGAATATAAAATGTTTGTAGACCACCCAGAATGCACTAATTTTTTACCACCGTGTAAATTATATTTTTTGTTAACCTTTTTCAACGTTTGTAACAACAAAATCTGAAATAGTTATTCATGCGTTTTTCTTTCTTTGTATAATATTACCAAATTATCTCATTAATATTTACCAAAAGTTCAAACCATCGTAGACAACATAATAATCCTTCAAAGTATTCCTCTCAAATTAAAAACCATTTTTATTTTTATTAGCCTAACACATTTTATCTCAACAATATTATTCAACAACTTTCTCTGAAATCTATTGTATATACAGAACAAATCCATACTTAAATATTATGGTAATCATCCAATCGAAAATATCAATAGTGTAATTTTAACTTCTAGATAAACGCGTTGAGTGAAGCATCTGAAAGGAAAGCAAAGCGACTTCCGACCCAGCAACAAATGGCTCGTATAAGGAATATGAAACTTAAGAAAAGGATGGATCGAACTAGCCGTATAATGATTGCGGTGTTGTTATTATTTCTTGCCACGGAGTTCCCGCAAGGAATACTGGGTCTACTAAGTGGCATACTGGGAAGGGGTTTTTTTCAAACATGTTATAGTCTATTTGGCGAGCTTATGGACATGTTAGCTCTCTTGAATGCGTCGTTAAACTTTGTATTTTATTGTTGCATGAGCAAACAGTTTCGTGTAGCTTTCGGTCAATTATTCAAAGCCCAGCCTAGCATTATGTTTAAGCCCAACAATATTTTGGAGACATTCGTATAGGATTTGGAGGAGGGTTAGGACAGCCGGATTGAAACCGTGAAAATTAGCCGAATATTGTTATGTAATAAATATGCCCGCTTTTTAATCCTGATGGAAATTACGGGTAAGTTAATTTATTTCATAGTTTTTAAATATGTTCAAATATAAACGTTTAACCAAATTATAATCACCATTCAAGTCAATATAGCTTTTTTAATATAAGCTTAAGTTGCTCAAATATGACGAAATGTCATATTTTTATTATAATAATTAATTTAATTAATTTTCTTAATTTAACACTAACTATAATTGCCATAAAATATTCGGGTGTGTTTTTATACATAACAATATTGCTGACTCATATAAATTAGACTGCATTGGCGGGGTTATGATTTTTAACTACCTACCTATTAAAAACATTTTTTATCCAAAAGATATTTTAAATACACATAAATAATAATATACTTCTGTGCATAAAATTAAATTGTTGGTGTAATAAATTCTTGATTAAAAATCAAATTTCCATATAATGACTATTTAACCGAATCAACACATTACCCACTCATTTATTTTTTACTTTTTTATTATAGAATATGGAAATATTTTTCATAATAAATATTATTGTTATGATTAGGTATACAAGTTTTTAATACTTTTATTGAACTTAATATATATATATATATATTGGTTTATAGTAACATAATTATTATAAAATGCATCAATATAATATAATATCAATATAAATGCATCTCGTATAGATATAATATAATCATACATAATATATTGGTATAATATATATTTATTAATTAACAAGAAAAAATGGTTTTAAAATACATAATGTTATAAATCCCTGAGTAAATATTTAAAAAATACCTATTTAATATAATAATATAAATATTTGTATTCATCTACATCTGAACTAAATGTACCTATAATAGCCTCGATAATAATTTATTCATGTGAAATTCTTATTAATTTGTTAACTATTTTATTATTTATCAATTTGTCCAATTCTTTATAAGTAAAGCTTGTTGTAAAAACAAACAAAAACATTTTATCAAAACTAAAAATAGATTGAAATATATAAATAAATAATAATAATCATGAATTTAGAAATAAATAATTTAATATAAGGAACTATTGAATTAATATACCTAATAAAATCTACACTTAACCAAAACTATGTAATTATACAAAATAAACATTAGGTAGGTACTTACTTTAATTATCTACTATGATAATTTTTAAAAAGAAAAATAATTTAGTAGTAGCTTCTAGAAGCCCTGGAAACTTTTCTTTTTTTAAAACATATATATCAAGAAAATAAATAACCAAAAATGGATATTTCTACAAAAAATATTGATGTTTTCATCATGGAGGCTAAAGAAAGATTGGAAGCTGCTGCAAGAGCGAATCCTTGGTCTTACCCTTATATTTTCAATTTACACAATATTGTGTGTAGTTCAGTTGACATCACATAATTCCATACAATACAGTGAAACTTTATAATTATAATAACTTAAATATGGAAATGAGCTATAATCCATCTGTGAAATAGCAACTTTGTGTTGGATAAAACATAACGTTAATTAATTGATTTTTTTTCTTTATGTATAGGGTTAAAAAAAATAATATCACAATGAGATCATTAAACTTTTTTAATAATATGTATTTTTATTCAAAATGTTTTTTTAACTTTCATGACTTTTGACTACATGAGATAATTTTGAACTATTGGGTAGTGACTTCTCTTTTTTATTGATTGAAATATTAGGTAAATAAATTTATTAAGGGCAGTATTGTCAATACAAATAATAAAATATTCATATGTTGTATTAGAATAACAAAACCTATCCATTATTTGATAAAACATATTGATATTATAATACATTTTAAAACAGTTCATGTAATCTATTAGTCAACATACCTACTTCAAAATAATTTAACATCAATTTCAATATGTCATTTTTAGAATATATTTCTAAGGTTTGGCACAATACAAGAATTTGATTAGTTCATAATTTATGCATAATACCTACAATGAAAAATTAATTCAACATACTGGAAGTAAGTTTATTAAACCAATACAAACTGCCATTGTTAGTAATATTCGAGTGCCAGTACTTTTTAAATATAAATATGACATTTAAAATATATAAACAGCCACTTTATTTATAATAAAAACAAAAATAAAATGTTTTTATTCAAACATTTACAAAAATACAAAAATTATGATAGATTAAAAACCATTCAAGTGATATTACTGATAATTTTGTAGGAATTGTATTAATTTACCAATAAAAGTTGCCTTTTTTCATTAATTCAATATTTAATCTAGGAAATTTAAATTTGATAGAAATTCCTTAATTTTAAAATTTAAAGTTTTTTATATGTATTATGAAATGTTAAATAAATGTAAAATAATTGAAATAATTACAAAATATCGAGTGGTATAACTTGATTCACTTTGAAACGTTATTTCAATAGATGTGTGTAATATGTATTTTTAAACCCCGCACACAGCAGGATATTTCAGGATATTTAATATGTAAAATATAAGTTACCTGGTGAAAAAAGAGATAATAACATATTGATGTAGGTACCTATAATAATATGATATTAAATTATATGTTATTATATGTTTCAAACGATTTTCCGGTGTTTATGTTTACCATATTGTTATAAAATATACATTACTTTTCGAAATGAGTTTGTACAAAATTTTTGAATGAATATTAAAATATAATATATTATCGTGTTATTATTTGATAAAATGTAACGTTGAATATTCGTTGAAAATAATGTAAAAATATTATACTATATTAAATTGTTATGTAGTGTGACTCTATTCGTGTTGGTATTAAATTTATTGCAGCTTGTTTTTTCGTCAACTGACTTATATAACGCATGAACAGACTCGCGGTGATATCCTGGGCAACGTCCTGACACGAAGCTACGAACGTGATCGCACGTAACCGTTACCTACCAAACGTTTCTGTAGCAAAACAAAACACATTTAGTGTGCCTGTCCAACACGACCAGCTAAACATGACCATAATACAATATTATTATTGTACCTACACAACTTCCGCGATAACAGTATATTAATGGGGCGTCATTCATTTGGGCGAATGACCCAAAATTTAACCGAGTAGGTACACGAGCATGCATCATTTAGGTGAAAATTTAACTGGTCGTTTGGCTGAATTGTATTTTAACGTTGTTGTTACTTCCTAAAGTCTTTGATATTGAATCAAATAAGACGTACTGCAGAGCGTGTAAAAATGAAAGCAAATAAAGACTTAAACTCAAAAACTAGTGAAATTATACGTTAGACTTCACTCGCGTTACCTGAAGACGAAATAATCAATACCGACAGAAAAAATTTAATATAAAAATAAAAATGAAGGATATAGAAAAAAATTAATATAGGTCAAATATATTTTCGAAAACGCCATTTTTCTACTTTACCTTATACTATAGAAGTTGCATACCTTCACATAGATTCATGATATTCAAAAAAATATCACTTTTAAGGGTGGATAATATTTTTTGTAAATCAAGAAAAAAAAATATGTTAATAGTAACACGTTCATATAATCTTAGATTGTTATAGGATTCTAAAAAGGAAAGGGAAATGTATTAGATAAGTTAGCTATCTAATATCCATAAATAACTTTCTGCCAAATCATATATTATTATAGTTACAAACTCGCCCAGACGATGTTTTAGACATATTAGTCGTCTATACAAACTTCATCCAAATAATATGGAATAATGAATTCACCCAAATGAAAACCACCTTATTAGTACATAAACATTTATTATACTAAACGACCCTGGTCCCCTTGACCAGATATCACATCTGAAATGGCAAGAAATTGTTCCATGGCTATACAGCCTATGCGTCCGAATATTCCTAGGAATTGTTGAATCCCACATAGTCCAATAGTTTTTAACCTAAAATTGTTTTAAAATTAGTTCAGATTGAGAAATACGTTTAGTATTAGTAAGCCTGGACAAAAATCAGTCGCAAAAAACTAGAATATTTTATAAAAAATATTTTTTAATTTTAATAATTTAGCAGCCTCAACATACCCAACACCATAGATGAGCAACACTTGGACCAACATGACGCGGACACGGGCGGACACCACCACACAAGTTTTTAATTTCTTAAACAAAACCAAATAGTATAACCTAATTAAAAAAAAATAAAAAAATACCGTAGTTAATGGTCATTGTCACCGATGTTAATTAAAAACAATATCAAATATATTTTTATAATAATAAGTTTGTAAAATATTTGGTTTGTTTTTTATTGTTACTACAATGATAGGTAGTATTACTTTAAAAATGAAAAAATAAATATTCTGAATATAATAGGGGAACCTAAGAACCAATTTGAGTTTACTGGGATTCGTAATATGTACGTTATTACTTCAAGTAAGATCATAATAATAATAATATTTGTGTAGGTACGATAGTGAAGTATAGTGATCCCGGGCGAAGCATCATGCATAAAATTTAATTAGGCTCTAATTTTACTAGAGTTATGGCGTAAACGCACATAAAATAATAAGTATAGACGTATGGCAAAACAATTACAACACGACGTCTGTGCTTGTTCAATTTCGAGGCAAATTCTGTTGCGACTATAATTCATATTATATTATAATTAATTAGGTATCCTATAACGCAACTTGTACCTACACATTTAATATGGGTGGAATATAAATTCACAGCTAATATACCCATGTGTGTGTAAAATAACATATACACATTGCACAACATACGTATACATGAAAACTTATATAATATGTACATTGTATGGTACCTACTATGGTTTATACCTATATTACCGTGGCGCCGGTGTGGTACGATGATTTTATACAGTATACTGCAGGTGGTCGACTGTGAGATTCCGCGAATTTGAAATCAAAAGTTTGCAATAATTATCGAATGTAGTGTGTTTCTATAGCAGAAGAAGCAGGTATAGGACCGATCTAACGTGAGTGTAC